ACAAGAGTCTACAAGTAGCTCATCTCCCTGTAACTGACTTTTGATTCATTAATGAGATGGCTGTTAAAAAAAAAAGGGCCGAACAAGGGTTTGTCCGCAACATATGGGATGAAAAAAAAAAGGTGAGACAAAGAGAAACTAGAATATTTGGAGTGGAGATGGTCAACTTTTGTGGAACGAAAAGAAATTCGACAGCGGAAGGCACCGATCGAATATGCAAAAAATGATCTCAGAATTTTTTTCTTTTTTGTTTTATAAACCATGGGAATTTCGTATGTTTGGGTCATAATCTTTCGGTACTCATAGTCAGCTTTTAAATATTCCGATTTAAAAAATAACTCTTTGTATCAAACATAGTTTGAAACCGAGGCACAAATAAACCAATCCCCTTGTGTTACCACTAGACCACTACGAAAAGTTAAAGAAAAAGACGAAAGTTTGGTGGCACAGTTATTTATTGTGTGTACCGATATGTGCATAGATATCGATTTCATGTTTAAAATGATATTCCTTCCGTAAAATATAAATTGTTTTAATAATCCTATTTATTTTTTTAATTTTATTAAATATTGTGTGGTTAAAAGTATTTTGCCGTCTTTTTATGTTTTGTTAAATTATTTTTATTAAATGATAAATTTTAGAAAAAATATAGTTCTTTAATATATGTGATCTTAGCTAAAACAGCTAACATTTTAAAACAGAAGGAATATAACGATGTTAATGAAAACTCTGACTATAAATGCTTATCTTAAATTAATGAAATTTATATAATTGTTTTAGTTTAAAATTTTGAAGACGTTAATAGTCATATTCGATGCAGATGAATCAACTAATTACGCGATAAGAAAAAGCACATCAGATTTTTTAGAAATGTATTTTTTCCGAACTATGAAATGAAATTCATGGAACGTAATATCAACAAAACCAAAACAAATATAGTATTACTTAGCTACAAATCCTCAGAGATTTTACGAAGCAAGAAAATGTTGACATAGCGAAAGACAATAACCCTAATTAGTAATTAGTTATACCAAAAAATAGTTTGTGATTGGCACCATCAGATAAAATATGCAAACCAAATAAATATAAATCAAACAAATTAATTTAAGTGAATGATCGGTTCGGTATGTAGATTAGTTACTGTAGAATTTAAACTGTAGATGTTTTTGTTGTAACTGTTGTTTTTTGGCGGCGAAAAAATCTTATAGCTTTTAAAACCATAAAATAGTTGCTTCTAGAAAAAAATCTAAAACATGAAAAAAAAAAATTTAGAAGCTGTAACTTTTATATGAGACTAACTAAAATTTTTAAAGTTTGATTGGTAAGCAAATAGTGTAACAAAGGTTTAAGGGGTTGTAAAAAAATTTTAAAAGCCAATCAATCACACTCTTATGGTTAAATGTTCAACATGAACCAGATTAATTCTAAAGAATGTTTGAGAAATGCCACTATTGTAATACTATTTTTAAAAAATACTATCATTTTAAAATCTTTTCAAAAA